ATCGGATAAATCGAGAGTTCTGACTAACTACGTTTTTCTGACAGTCAGGGAATGCATTAGTAAAGGTTCCAGTTAAGAAAAAGCTGGTAAATTACTGCGAGATCTCTACCTAAGACTCAAAAACGAAATTTTCGCCCACCATCTTCTGTCAACCTACAACAGGAGGGTGGACAAACCCTCGACCAGTTTGCTCAAAAGCTAAAATCCTTAGATAATGACTGTGATTTTAAAGCCGTTACTCAGAATAAAATCGCAGCGATACCATTAAAATGCGTTCATCAGTGGCCTTTCATTAACTTAGATTCAGTAGATGTTATTGTAGCAGATGAATGTGAAATTTCAAACTGCCTTTGATCAGGCAATGTCACCGGAATTGGCAGACAGTCCCTACCGCATCAGAACCCTCCGACGACCTCATTCTCTGCCGCTACTGAGCCATGTGAAACTTCATCGAGTTCCGCTAAAGGGCCTGGCGTGATGGCTTCTACTTCACACCATAGCAAATGTTTCTTTTGTGGATACAACAAGCACCGCCGTTCGATGTGTCCCACACGCGATGCGGTATGTCAAGGATGCGGTAAAAAGGGGTACTTTCAAAAGGTGCGCCTAACAGTAAGAAACCGAAAGACTTTCGTTCCGCTATGTATCCCTCCATTTCCGCCGTGGCATCAGCCGCTGCTCCCGACTGTCGCCCAAACGTAGTGGTTGAATTACAAATACATGGGACTACTTTTGAAGCCCTAGTTGGTAAGGTAGTTCTGAAAGTTATATTTCTTCTTCAGTTGTGCTCCGAAATAAGTAGAAGGTTCATAACTCTCACACTAAGATATCCATGCCCACCAAAGCCTTAGCCATAGCCGTGCAGGGACATGTACAAAAAGGTCAAGCTATCGATCATGCCGGATTTGTGCGCCGATGTTGTACTTGGACATGACTTTATCTGACTCCACAAAAGTGTTGAAATCCCTCTCGGTGGACCTAAAACTACGTTCTTGCCTTGTCTTGTGGCTGCCGCTTGTGTCGAGCCTCCCTGTTTGTTTGCCAATCTGACACCGGACTGCAAGCCTATCGCTACCAGATTGCGCAGACACACCAATATAGATGAGTGATTTATACGAGAAAAAAATTTGCTTCCTTTCTGAGGGCGCAAGTGAGCATTCATTATCCTCTTGTCGAGCCCAAGTTTTTGTGGTAGCCAACGGAAACCAAAAAAAGTGGATGGTTGTCGATTATAGCCAAATAGTCAACAGATACGCACTTCTAGATGTCACTTCTTCCATAGAATAGACGAAATCATAGGACATATTGCAAACAACGACACTTATAGCGCTCTTGATCTCAAGAGTGCCTATAAGCAGATATTCATTCGGGCAGAGGAAAGACCGTGCACTGCCTTTGAAGCTTGTGGGCGTTTGTATCAATAATGTCGTACCTCGTGTAGTGAGACCAACGGGGTTGCGTGATGTGAGCGGACCATCTACGACATAATTGCACGCGAGTGTCTAAAGAATATTTTCGTCTACGTGGACAATAGCACTATTTGTGGAGACGACCTCGAGAAGACAGATCTAATCCTTCGAAAATTCCTTAGCGTGAACGGAAGGTACGGAGTGACATTCAATGGAGCCAAAGGTGTTATTGTTACTCAAGAAATCAAACCTCTTGTATACGGGCTATCCAGGAACAACATTAGGTCGGCTTCCGATCGTCCAGGACTTGGGTTGTTTGCATATTACTCGCAATGGATATCTCACTTACCGGATAAAATTAATCTGCTCATCCATAACAAAACTTTTTCTTTACCATTAAAGGTGGTGGAAGCATTTGATGCGTTTTAGGGGGAACTTGCGACAGCCACAGTGGCCACTGTTCGATACGATACTCCATTAGCTGTGGAGACCGATGTTTCAGTCGTCGCAATCGCTGCCACATTGAATCAGAAAGGCCAGTAGCGTTCTCTTCACGTAGCCTTTCTCCAAATGAGCGGCATCATTCAGCTATAGAGAAAAAGGCATACTCCGTATTGGAATCCATACGCAAATGGAAGCACATCCGCCTCTGTAATCAGTTTAAACTCATCAGGGATCAGCGTTCTGTTGCCTGCATCTTCGGCAATCAGCAAAAATAGGAGATCAGGAACGGTAAGCTCGAACGCTGGAGGTTGGAGCTGTCACCATTCAAATACGATACTGTCTACCGACCCGGTAAGGAAAATCGAGCGGCGGACAAGCTTTCCTGTAATTGCCGTGGCGTCCTACTAACCACTGTCGATCTGAAAGAACTACACGAATCACTTTGGCATCCCAAAGTCTCTCGACTTTCCAGTTTGGAATCACCCCTTTTCGATGGAAGATATTTGTAATGCCGTCGCAAGATCTCAGGCCTGCATTTAAGTCAAACTTTGTTTCTTTAAAGCACATAGCTACATCATCAAAGCCACCCAGCCGTTCGAAAAATTGCCACTCAAATTCACAGGTCTTCTTCGTCGGTAACCCATAACCGCTATCTGCTGAGGCTTACAGATGAATATTCTCGTTCCCCATTTGCATTTGCCTGTCCTGATCAGGCGGCCGAAACTGTCATTAAATGCTTGCGCCAGCTCTTTTCCATATTCGGCACTCCTTCGTACTTACACACTGACCGGGGATCGTCATTTAGGTCAAGCAAAGTTTTGCAATTCCTTCACAGTAAGGGAGTAACAACGAGTAGGACAGTTCCGTACAATCCGCAGGGAAATGAGCCGGTTGAAAGTTTGAGTCAAACTATGGAAGACTATTTTGCTTGCTCTAAAATCCCAAAATTTGCGCGCCACGCACTGGGGATCCGTATTACTTGACGCTTTACACGCAATCAGGTCTTTTTTGTGTACCACCAGTAAAACGACACCTCAGGTGAGAGTGTTTGTCTACAACAGGTGTTTAACAACTGGGACTACTCTCCCAATGTGGCTTACCGCTCCTGGCTGAGTTATGCTGAAAAAGAGCAGCCAACAGTCCAAATATGATCCGCTCGTTGAGGAGGTTGAACTGCTGCAGTGTAACCCCAACATACTCATATACGTTTAAATAATTCAGTATATATGAGGGATAGCGGCAGAGCCTTGGAAAATGCTATTTACAGATAGACATTTAAAAAAAACATGCAGATATTTACGTAGTAGTTATGCAAGCCATTGATATCGTGTAAATGTTTGACCATCAAGCATAAATTTATTTAGTTTTCTTTTGAAGGTGTCAACGTTTTCCGCTAGGACAACGGAATTCGGCAATTTGTTCCATCCTTCAACCAGCCGGTGGGAGAAGAAATTGACCCGCAAATCGAGTTCAGCAATTTTAGCTTTAATTCGTATTAGTGGCCTCGAAGAGTTGTCGTCCGCGCTAGTTCGAAGAAATCTCCAAACTCAAGAGCACAGTCTATCCCTCGGACGATCCTGAAAGCCATGGTCATACTCCCTCTGTATTGTCTATAAGCGATGGAAAATACTTTTAACTTTTCCAGGCGTCTCTCATAAGGTAAGATACTTAATCCGCCAAGTAGCTTGGTCGCTCTTCGTTGTACGTTCTCCAGTAGAGTGTAATCTTATTTCGTCCAGGGACACCATGCCTGAACACAATATTCCAACATTGGTCAAACGAGTGCTCCAAATAGTCGGCAGAAAAGTTATCCGTCAAAATTGAGAAAGGATTTTCTTATCGCGCCTACGATGCCCATAGCCTTATTTCATACCTTGGCATAGTGAGACGATGGTTTGAGAGTTGACGACATCCACACATCGATATCTCTTAACTGCTTGACCCACTTGAGTTGGTGACCGCCTATAAAGTACTGAGATTCAAATCTGAACGATCTCATATTGCTCAATCGTATTCGAGTAAGTTGGCATTTGGTTCGATTGAAACTAAGACACCACTCATCACACACTTGTTGCAAGCGATTTAGATTGCCTTGTAACTGTACGAAGTCTTCCAGGTTCTATGTCGATTTCTACAATTCGTGATCATCGGCAAAAATTACGCGCTCGCAGTTCAGACAGTCTAGGCAGTCGTTCATACATATATAAGGAACAGAATTTGACCCAGAACGCTCCCCTGCGGAACGGCACTGTGCACTGATGCCCATTCTGATTTAGCGTTTCCAACACACACACGACAGTTCGACCATCGGTTTCGATGATGTCCACCGTGTGCCCCACAGCTGCAGTAGCGGTGGGAGCAGGGACGGGGACTTGCACAGGGGTTTATAGTGCCGGTAGACTTGCGTAGCATCTACCTACACTCTCTCCTCCTCCCCCGCCTGAGCCCGGTGTCAAGACAGAGTCACGAAGACCGGAGACGAGGAAGGCCGCAGGTGGATGGCTCGGACGGATGCTCACCTTGGCGCTCCACTCAGCACCCACTGGTCCACACAATAGGATTTCAACCAACACAACAGAGTTTTGGAGGCTGACAGGGCCGAAGCCGCACCTAGGCGTACCGCCAACGCCTGGCTCGGATCCCACGCTGTGGTGGGAATGCCATAAAGGCCGCATTAAAAAGGTGCCATTGCAGCCTGGCTCTCAGACCGCCTCCAGTAATGGAGGAGGTCCAAGTTACCCCGTCAGTTGACAACCTTCCAAGTCACGGCTTAAAGCGCACTGTCATAGCCTCAAGCGCGTCAGATTGTTTGTAGTGAGGAGAAAGTGCGCTGAGTCGTCGACCTCACTCTCCCTTCCCACTCCCACACCCCAACCGCTCTCCGAGCCGGTCAGCAGACTGGAGTGGGAAATGGGCGCGGTGGCTGCATGATCGACTGACCATGACTGCGCGCGCCACAGCAAGACCTGGCCCCCCCCATACACACAACACCAGGATTTCACACAACGGGGGTTGAGCGGCTTGTCTCTAACTTGCGTGAGAGAGCCGTGGAAGGTGCTGTTTCAGCCCGCCGCCCAGCACACCAGTCCGCCACTACACACAACACACACACACAACGCGACGAACTGCGTGAACCGAGAGCGAGCGTCAATCAGCAACATTCCTATCCACGACGCTTGACGTATCGGGATAGTCTCGGACTAAAGTCACCCGTGGAGTCGGGGCCGCATGAGGACCGAGTCGAGATGCACACTTTCCACTTGCGTGGGAGGTGGCAGTTGGGTGCTTGCGGTAGGTGGGTGTTGATGTGTGGTGGTGGTAGAAGAGGAGGAGGCAGGGCGGGAGGGTGTTGTGGTGTGGTGTAGCCGGCGGTCGTCTACTGAAGGTCGTCGTGGATGCGCATATGGCCGAATAGACCCGTGCGATGCGTGAAGGTGCGAGGGCAGTGTTGGCAATGGAGGCGGGTGCGGGTGGCGTAGGTTGGTGTTCCATGCACTGGTTCGCCAGTCTCTGTGCGACCGATTCGCATGTGACCGACCAGGCCGATGTGTGAGGTGAAGGCGCGGTCGCAGTGAGGGCAGGCGTAGTCCTGATCCGCATCACTGGAGTCGGAGGAAGTGAGGGTGGTGTCAGTTGTTGTGTCAGGTTTGGTGATGTGCGAGACGGCCGCCTGAGCGGCCGTCGTTGGGCAGTGGAGGAGAAGGAGGAGGAGAATGGTAGTGGCGGTTCAGAAGAATTGTCAGAGTTACTTGGCGGCTGAGAGGCCGAAGAAGAGGCAGGCTGGGGGACGATGGTTAGTGCAGTTCGAGAGGCGCAGTTGATCCAAAGATGTCCAACATGTCCGATTCGAGCTGGAATGTCCGTTGACATCGAGAACACGTTGGAAGCTGTTGTGCGTCGGCGTTGCGTACAGGGCGAAGTTGTTATTTGCGCGTTTCGCGTTTCACTTTGGCGGCAGCGATGCGGTTGGATTTGTAGATCGCTGTGCCTCTTTTCGCTGTCCTCCTCCATGTCGGACGATCGGGAGCAAGCTCTTCCCAGTTGGTCGGGTTGATTTGTAGACGCTTCAGGGAGGACTTCAGAGTATCCTTGTATCGGCGAATATGACCTCCTTGACCTCGAGAACTCGTCGCGACGTCTCCGTAGAAGAGTCGTTTGGGTAGTCGCTCGTCGTCCATGCGCACCAGGTTGCCGCTCCATCGCAGTTGCATTTGTCTGAGGATGGTGTAGATGCTAAGGATTCCCGTCCGTTATAGCACATCAGTGTCGGGGATTCGATCCTGCCAGTTCAGCCTCAGGATGCGACGAAGAAAACTGAGGTGGAAGTGGTTCAGTCGGTGTGCCTGCTTCGTGTACACTGTCCACGTCTCCGCACTGTACAGCCGCGTCGGCAGGATGACGGCCTTGTATATCTTTAGCTTCGTGCTCAGTTGGAGACCGTGACGATTCCAAACTGTGCGTTGGAGGCGACCGAAGGCTTGACTAACTTTCGAGATTCTGCGAGCGACTTCGTCATCGATTTTGGTGTTAAGGGAGAGAGTGCTACCCAGGTACGGGAAGTTCTTCATCACTTGCAGCTGGGTTCCGTTAACGCTTATTTGCGGCGACGCGTTGGGGGCTGTGACTGAGTTGGGTGGCAGCTGATGCATGACCACCGTCTGCTGCGTGTTGACGACCAGATCGAAGTTCTCGCAGGCGGCGGAGAATAGTTCCATGCTCCGTTGCATCTCCTCTTCCGAGGTGGTGTTCAGGGCGCAGTCGTCGGCGAAGAGAAGTTCGTGGACGGTAGTTGTGGATACGCGCGACTGGAAGCGCATCCACCGTTGATTCAGCAGGTGACCGTCTGTCCTGTAGGTGATGCGGCTCCCGGGGCGTTCGTCGCGGTAGGCGTCCATCAGCATGGCAGAGAACATAAGACTGAAGTGGGTAGGCGCCAGCACACATCCCGGCTTCACTCCGTTGGTCAATGCGAATGCCCCTGAGACAGCTCCGTTGTCCGTGACTCGCGCCATCATACCGTCGTGCAGCTGACGAACCATCTGAATAAATTGCTCTGGACAGCCAAATTTCTGCATGATCTTCCACAATCCTTCACGATTCACCGTGTCGAAGGCTTTTGTCAGATCCACGAAGGTAGAGTTCAGGTGGGTCCGCATCTCCTGGCACTTCTCCTGACGTTGACGAGCGGCGAAGATCATATCCGTGGCCCCGCGATTACGACGGACTCCGCATTGGCTTTCCGGCAGAAGGCTTTCTTCCAGATGATTATTCAGACGATTGAGGAGGATGCGAGCGATGATCTTTCTGGCAATGTTCAGCAAGGAGATGCCACGGTGATTGTCGCAGACTTGGCGGTTTCCTTTTCTATTGTAGAAATGCACGATGGTTGCGTCTTTGAAATCTTGTGGGACTTCACCTTGACGCCGCATCTCCTGGAAGAGTGCAGTCAGGTGATCCATCAGTTGGGGACCTCCGTGCTTGTAGACCTCAGCAGGGATCGCGTCCGATCCGGGTGCTTTCCCGCTGGAGAGTTGCTGCACGCCCCTGATGGTTTCCTGGAGAGATGGCGGGAGATCGAGGTCCACGTTGGTCTCCACTTGCGGCAAGCGGGCGATGGCGGCGTCGGAGATGACGGAGGGGCGGTTGAGGACGCCTCGGAAATGTTCGGCCCATCGCTGTAGGATTTGCGTCTTCTCAGTCAGGAGAGTGCTGCCGTCGGCGCTGAGGAGAGGAGCAATGCCCTTCGTCGGCGGACCCGTAGACAGCTTTGATCGCAGAGAGGAAGTTCTTCCATTCGTTGCGGTCCGTGTATCCTTGGATCTCATCAGCTTTGCGGGCAGTCCAGGCGTTCTGCATCTCGCGCAGTCGTTGCTGAAGGTGGCGGCAACTGCGGTAGAAAGCAGCTCTGTTGTCGTCGGTGGGGTGGTCTACGCAGGCCTTGTGTAGGCGGTTTTTCTCGGCAAGCAGATTGCTGATGGCGGCGTCGTGGTCGCCGAAGCAGTCCTGGTGTTGGCGGCGTGCGCGACCGAGGACGGCTAGCGCCGTCGACTGGACCGTTTCTCGCAGATGACACCAGCGGTACTCGACGGAGGCGTTCTCGACAGCGGCGGAGGCAGTGATTGGAAGAGTGGCTATCCGTTGAGGAAGCTCATTATTGAAATGAATATGGTGAGCGGGCCAAGACAGTAAGGCGATATTCAGCTTACCTGGGATTCCCGTATCTTGTGGTCTCTTGCGAGGCTGTAAGCGAATACGCATCTTAGAGAGGACTAGGCGATGGTCGGTCCACCCGTCAGCGCCCGCGATCGCCTTTGTCACCAGCACGTTCAGCTGGTCTCGCCTCCGGACGATGACATAGTTCAGTAGGTGCCATTCACGCGACTGAGGATGCCTCCAGGTGGCCTTATCTCGCTCCGGCAGACAGAAGAACGTATTCATCAGGATGAGGCGGTGTTCTGCGCAAATGCGGAGGAGGCCGTTGTCGTTTGAGCCACGGAGACCGTGGGGCCCCAGCACTCTTCTCCAGGCAGTATGGTCTGTGCCGACGCGGGCGTTGAAGTCACCAAGGACAATCAACTTGTCCGCCCTTGACACGGTCGCCAAGAGGGCGTGAAGGTCCTCGTACAATTTGTCTCGTACGGCGTCGGGGCTGGTCATCGGCGGAGCGTAGGCGCTGATGCTGTTGGCGAATTTGCCTCCTCGCCGAAGAGGCAGGCGTAGGTTCATCAGGCGGTCGTTGATTCCTTGCGGCAGACAGGGCAGTCGTCCCACGATGTCGTTCCGAATGGCGAAGGCGACACCCGCGTCTCGTCGCTCTGCCTTGGGTCGATCACTCCAGAAGAAGGTGTAACCGGCACCCACCTCCTCCAGTTGGCCTTGTTCTGAGAAACGGGTCTCGTTGAGTGCGGCGATGTCCACCTTGTTGCGCGCCAGTTATCGTGCCACTAGCGCCGTCCTCCGTTCCGGTCGGTTGCTCCTCGGATTGTCTAAAAGGGAATGAACATTCCAGGCTGCCAGAATGACCGGACTCGCCCTGCCAGTCTGATGACGACGAGTGGGGCAACCGGAAGGAGGTGGAGAAGAAGATGACGAAGGAGAAGAATAGGCAGAAGAATAGGCAGAGGAAGAGGTAGAAGAGGTAGGTTGAGGAGGTGAGCGAGTATTGTTGTTGTAGTTGTTATAGTTATTGTTGTTTCGAGTTTATTGTTTCCACCATGTTTATGACATCTGCGACCCTGGCTAGACTGCAGACGGCGTGGTGCCCAGCGATGTTTAGGCCACGTTTTCTAGGCCCCTTCCATCTTGAGGGCAGGCAGTGCCACCCCTGAAATGGGCTGCCCATGTGCCGTTGTGGCGCGGCCAAATTCTACTGTGGGGCCACGATTTCTTGTTCATACTGGAGAGCGACTCGAATTTGCCGTAAACCGCGGCCACCGACGGCGTAGGTGGGCGCGTCAAGGCGATGTCGATGTGAAGATCCATCCCGTCACCGGCTGTCCAGCGGCGTGCAGAGACGAACCACGTCAAGACGGTGCCGACGCAAGGTTCCATCTGACCTTCCATCCAGCGGAGTCCGCAACACCCTGTGCATGCTGCACAACGTGAACAGGGCCCCCTCACCTGGTTTAACCCGCCAGTTGAGGCGGTTTCCCGGGATGTGGCCGCTGAGCAGATCCCAGAAACGTGGAGCCACATGTGAGAGTTGGGTGCCAGCAAATGGACGCTAGGCGTAGTCTCACCTACAAGCAAGTGAGCGACCACTACGACCATCACGTGAACCCACCGCTGACACCCCTACACCTCCCCACACGCAAACACACACTGAGATCTGCCCATAAGAAGATCGGCTAACCATTTCAACAGATTCCTATTCATACCCACTTGACGTAATTTAACTCTAAGTCGTCCATGTGGAACACTATGAAAAGCCTTTATGAAGTCAATGTACACGGCGTCGACTGATAATCCCATGTCGATTGATTGCGTCCAGCTCTCAATGGATACTAGCAGGTTGGTGAGACAGGATCGGCCCCTTCGAAATCCATGCTGATGCAAACTGAGCAATTCGTTTTCCTTCAAGATCCGCATCAGTTTCGTTTTTATTATTTTTTCATCAACTAGCAACAGATGCTTATGAGACTCACTGGTCTGAAACTATTTGGGGCTGTTCTCTCGCCACCTTCATATATGTAGCTTCTATTTGCTTTCTTCCAGTTAGCAGGCAGGGGCCCGGTCTCCATCGCAGTCCAGAAGATCCTGGATAATGGAGAGGTCAGTTCGCCTGAGAATTCATTCAGGACTTTTGCGAGCACGCCGTCCGGACCACGGGATTTAGTAGGCTGTTGTTGACTCAAAGTTTCCCTAACCTTGTCTGTTCTGAAGTCCACCGTGTTAATTAAGATCGATTTGAGATATTCCTGGAGTATTTCTATGTCATGCTGTATTCTGTCCTTTGGAGTGTCGGAAACAGACTCAGACATGCCCTTTATAACAATGCATTTACTGCGATCAAATAGACGGCATTGTGGTTTAATCATACCTGCAGAGTCTTCATCGTGGATATCGCGGCTACCGCCTTCCACCGATTTAGGAAGGTTTGATTCGGCAGAACCAACGCATGACTGCCTGTTTTCTACTATCTTTTGATCATTTGTCGTTTTCAGCAACGAGATTTTCGTCTGCGGTGTAGCCAACTCTTGTTCCTTTGTCTGAAGATCTGTGCCTTTTTGAGGTACCCTGAGAGTTCTTTTTGTTCGCTGAGATCGCGTCTTACCACGCGTTTCTAGCACAAGACACTGGTTACCATTGTTACTATTTTCTTTCTCCTCTGTCGACACAGCCGAGGAAGCCGTGTTTGCGTATGTTCGCGCACTTTCATCCACTTTAAATGAATAGCGAGGGAGATTCCTCAGTTTCTCCATTTCCACTTTAAGGCCCTTTATCTCCTTCTCCATTACCGCAAATTTTTGAAGGAGTCCGAATCATGTCGTACAGGCTTCGTCTTCGTATTTGATATCCATACAGTTTACTAGACTCCTTGCTTGTTTAGCGGGAGGTGACTTGACAGCGATATTTACAGAGTTGCAGTCGTTTGTACTACGAATAATGTGTTCAACTTTATTTATTTTAGTCTGCCACCGTACGCCGATAGGCAAGTCTGTATGAAGGAGATAATTGTAAAAAAATTCATCTAAAGTCGAAGTATGTAAGAACAATAGAATAGAGGAATTTTTGGTGGAAGGGGTGACGTGGAGTTATGGAGTCTATCACCGAAACTGAAGCCTATATGGAGGAAATAATGGTATGGTAATGCATTTGACGCCGATGTATGTAAGAATAAATGGAAAGCGGAATATTTGAGTGCATGGTGTGTAGAGGAGCTATAGAGTCTATCACCTAAACGTAAGCCCGTATGGAGGAGCTAATGTTATAGAAAGGCATCTGACGTGGTGGTATAAAAGAAGAATAGGAAAGCGGAATTTTCAAGTGGAAGGTGTGTCGAGGACATATGGAAACGCTCTCCGAAAGCGAAGCCCGCATTTAGGAGAGAATGATATAGAATTGCATCTGGCGCCATGGTATGTATGAATATTTGGAAAGCGGAATTTTTGAGTGGAAAGTGTGGAGAGGAGATATGAATTCTATCTCCGAAAAGGAGGTCCATAAATAGGAGATCATCGTATAGAAATGCAACTGAAGACGAAATATGTAATAGAAAGTGAAAAGCGGAATATTTAATTGCAGGGTATTTGGGTGGGACATGGAGTCTTACTCCGAAACGGAAGCCCGTACGGAGGGGAAAATGCTATAGAAATGCCTCAGACGTCAATATAGTTAAGCATAATAGGAAAGCGAAATTTTCAAGTGGAAGGTTTATGGAGGTGATATAGGCCTATCTCCGAAACGGAAGCACGTACTGAGGAGATAATTGCACAAAAATGCATCTGATGGCGAGATACGTAATAATAAGAGGAAGGCGGAATTTTATAGTGTAAGTTGTGAGGAGGATATATGGAGACTATCTCAGAAGCCGAAGCCCGTATGGAGGAGAAACTGTTATAGAAATCCACATGACGGTGAGATATTTATCATAAGAAGAAAGAGGAATTTATGAGTTGATGACGTTTGGAGGAGATAGGAAGACCATCTACGAAGGGGTAGCCCACACTGAGGATATAAATGTAAAGAAATTCATTTGACGGCGTGAAAAGTTAGAATAATAAGAAAGCGGAATGTTTGAGTGGAAGGTGTGGCGTGGATTCATGGAGTCCGTCTCCGACATCGAAGAACGTGTGGATGAAAGAATGGCAAAGAATTGCATCTGACGCCTAGGGATGTAAGAATATGTAGAAAGCAGGACTTTTAGTGGAGGGAATTGGGAGTAGATATAGAGTCAATCTCTGAAAAGGAAGCACGTATTAAGGAGTTCATCGTATAGAAATGCATTTGAAGACGGGATATGTAATAAACAGAGGAAAGCGGATTATGCGATCGCAAGGAATTTGGAGTCTTCCTCCGAAACGGAAGCCCGTACTGAGGAGACAATGTTTTGGAAATGCACCTGACGTCAATATATGTTGGCATAACAGGAAAGCGGAATTTTTCAGTGGAAGGTGTGTGGATGAGATATGGAGTCTATCGCCAAGACGAAATCCCGTATGGAGGAGATAATTGTATGGCGAGATAAGTAATAATAAAAAGAAGTCAGACTTTGAGACTGTTAGGTTTGCGGAGGAGAAATGGACACTATTTCAGAAACCGAAGCCTGTAGGCAGGAGACAACGGTATAAAAATGCAACTGACGGCGCTATAGTTATCATTAAAGGAAAGCGAAACTTATGATTCTAAATGTTTTAGAGGATATATGGAGTCTATCTTCGAAGGGGTAGCCCGCATTTAGGACATAGATGTATAGAAATTCATTCGCCGGCGAGAAATGTAAGAATAATAGGAAAGCGGAAATATAAATGGAAGTTGAGTGGAGGAGATCTGGAGGAAATGTCCGAATCGGAAGCCCGTATGGAGTGGATAATGCTATAGAAATTCATTTCCGGCGAGATATTTAATAATAAGTTGAAAACGGAATTTTAAATTATATTGGCGAAGATATATGTAGGCTAACTCCGAAACGAAAAACGCATATACTAGATAATGGTTTAGAAAATCTTCTAACACAGACATATTTAGTAAAAAGAGGAAGGCGGAATTATTGAGTGGAATTTGTTAGGTGATGATAAGGATACTTCCTTTCGAATCACAAGCACGCATTAATGACATAATTGTATAGAAATGCCGTTTGGAGGAGATAATATTACAGAAATTCATCAGAAGGCGAGATAGGTAAGAAAAAGAGGAAAGAGGAATTATTGAGTTGAAGGTGTTGGGAGGAGACATGGTGGCTATCTCGGAAACGGAAGATTCCGTCGAGGCGTTAATGATATAGAAATGCATCTGAAGGCGAGATATGTAAGAATAAGAGGAAGGAGGATATATTCAGTGGAAGGCGGAGGAGATATGGAGTCTATCTCCGAAACAGAAGCACGCATGGTGGGTATAATGTATACAAATGGATCTGACGGCGGATATTAAGAATAAATGGAACGAGGATTTTTGATTTGAATGGGTAGAATATATGGAGTCTATTTCCCAAAGGAAAGCTCGTACGGAGGAAATAATGATATAGAAATGCATCTGATGGTGAGGTATGCCAGAATAATAGGAAAGCGGATTTTGTGAAAAGATGAGGAAGGAGATATGGAGACCATCTCCGAATCGGAATCCCGTATGGATGCGATATAGGTAGAGGAATGAATCTGATGGGGAAATATTTAAGAAAAAGTGGAAAACGGAATTTTTGATTGGAAGGGGGAGGAGATATAGACTCTTTCTCCGAAGTGGAAGCCCTTATGATGGAGATAATTGTAGAGAAATGCAAATGACGGCGAGATATGTATAAAAATAAGAATGCGCAGTTTTTGATTGAAAGGTGTCTGAAGGAAATATCGAGTCTATATTCGAATGCCAAGTGCGTATGGAGGAGATTGTGGTATAGAAATGCACCTTACGCTGAGATATATGAAAAGAATTGGAAAGCCGAAATTTTGATTGGAAGGTGGCGGAGATATGGAGACTAAATCAGAATGGGAAGCCCGTATAGATGAGATAATATTATAGAAAACAATCTGACGGCAAGATAGAAAAGAATAGGAGGAAAGCGGAAAATTTGAGTGGAATGGGTAGGATCTTTGTATACTATCTCCGAAAGGGAAGCACGTACATATGAGACAATTGTATGGAAGTGCATCTGACGGCGAGATATGTAAGAATAACTGTAAAGCGCAATTGTTGAGGGAAGGGGTTGAGATATAGAGTCCATCTCCCAAAAGGTATGTATCAGATAATAATTCAGAAATCCATCTGACGGCGAGAAAAGTAAGAACGGGGAAACCGGATATTTTGATTTGAAGGGCGAGTTGATATGTTGTCCGTCTCCGAAAGGCAAGGGTGTAAGGATAGATAATAATACAGAAAAGAATTTAACGGCGAGATATTTAAGAATGAGTGGAAAGAATAATATTTGATTGAATGGGGGTGGAGATCTGGAGTCCATTTTCCGAAAGGGAAACACTTAAATTGGAGGTAATGGCATAGAAATGCATCTGAACGCATAATATCTAATAATAAGAGGAGAGCGGAATTTTCGACATGAAGGGGGATGTGAAATGGAGTCTATCTCCGAAACGGAAGACGGCATGAAGGAGGTAATTGTACAGAAATGCATCCGACGGCGACATATTTAAGAATAAGAGATAGCGGTATTTTATGAAGAAGTGGGAGGAGATATTGAGTCTATATGTGAAGGGGAAAACCGTCTGTTCGAGATAATTGTATAGAAATGCATCTGAGGGCGACATATGTAAGAATAAGTGGAAAACGTAAACTTGACTAGAAGACGGTGGAGATATGGAGTCTATCTCCGAAACGGAAGCCCGTTTAGAGGACGTAGTGGTATAGAAATGCATCTGACGGCGAGATCTGCAAGAACAAACGGGCAGCGGAATTTTGAGTGGAAGGGGTGTGAGATATGGAGTCTAACTCCGAAGAGGAATGCAGTATGTTTGAGATAATTTTATAGAAATTAATCTGACGTTGATATATATAAGAATAATAGGAAAGCGTAATTTTTGAGTATAACGGGTATGACATATGGAGTGTATCTCCCAAGTGGAAGCCCATATATATGAGGTAGTTGTATAGAAATGCATCTGACGGCGAGATATTTAAAAAGAAGCGGGCAACAGAAGTTTGATTGGACGGGAAAGGAGATAGGGTGTCACTTTTCGAAAGGAAAGCCGATATATTTGAGATAATTTTATGGAACATAATCTGAATTCCATATATTTAGGAATAAGAGGAATGGAATATATGGGAGTGGTACGGGGATGATATATGGAGTCTATCTCCAAAACGGAAGATTTATGTACGAGATAATTTGATAGAAATGCATCTGACGGCGAGCTGTGCAATAATAAGAGGAAAGCGTAATTTTTGATTGGACCGGGGATGATTTGTGGAGTCTATCTCCTAAACGGAATCCCGTATGCACGAAATAATTGTATGGAAATTCATCTGACGGCGAGGTATGCAAGAATAAGAAAAATGCGTAATTTTTGCGTTGAATCAGGATGACATGGAGTCTATCTCCGAAGCAGAAGCCCGTATGGAGGAGATAATTGTATAGAAATGCATCTGAAGGCAAGATATTTGGAATTAATTTGAAAGCGGAATTTTTGATTGAATGATGCCTGGAGGACTTATGGTTAACATCTCCGAAATTTAAACGCGTATTTTGGTGACAGTTGTATATAAATGCATTTGACGGTATGGTTGTTAATATGAAGAGGAATTCGTAATATTTGATTGCGGGGGGAGGATATGTAGATTTTACAGATTA